TTCTGCAGGCACGATTACTGGAGACAGAGCAGCATCTGGCTGAGCAGGAAAGTGCGCTGGTAGAGCTGCGGGCGGAGCTACGGAAAAAGGGGGCACTTGCAAGCGCACTGCAGGTTCGACTTCGAGATGAAGAGCGGCGATTCCTGGAGGAGTTAAAACGACGCAGTCATAAGATTACAACGTTGAGTCGTGACCTCCGCAAGCAGACGGACCTGGCCGCTCAACTCTCCTTCCAACTGCATTCAGCACACTTTCGATTGTATCACCAGACAGAAGAATATGAGGAAGAGGATGAAGAAGAAGAGGATGAAGGAGGCACCATGCAGGTAGGAGGCACTACTGCTGGATTTATTTGTAATTTGAGACTTGAATCATTCTTGTTCTTTTATGTCTACACAGATATCAGAATGGACTGCAAATTCTCCGTGGACATCTCCAGTAACGGCGGAAAGTGCACGTCAAAGCCGAGCTTCAGGAAGGATGCGGAGATCAGAAAGAGTGAGGGAATGCGTGCCCCGCGAAAGGGTGCTTGGGCCCGAAGAGGCACGCCCCATGCCTGACCCCGCCCTTTTCCTTTATCCTTTCAGACATAGGCTCCTCCCCTTGCACAGGTCACTTGGAGGTCACTGGAGTGAAGGTGGCCTTTCAAGGATGTCAGAAGCCCGAATAGGTAGATTCAGAGACCGACCACTAAGGGAGGACATTGGACCAGAGACAACAGAGTTATAGAGGGCAACACTGCCCTTTATTCAGTGGCATTGGTTCTGGAGGGATTTCCTATTCATTTTTCTTATAGGGTTTTAAAAAAGTCTTTCTTAAAGAGATATAAGCCATCAGCCAAACCAACCAGCTTTGAGGTGAACACAAACATTACGAACTTTGATTTGAAGCAAAGAAAATGTTTAAAAATCAGACAAAAAGACAAAGATACAAGGCTGTGTACTTAAAGGCACAATATGTACGATTTTTTTATTAAAATATCCAAAAACCACTAGAACAGTGTTATATATTTTGCTGACTTGTGTACTTACATTATCCCAAATGTTTCGAAGAATGTTTAAATCCTGAGAAATAAGCAATTTTAACTAGTGACACGGACAGTGTCTATAGTGTCATTGTGTCGCCTGCCAATGACGTCATAACCCCTCGATTTCCGGTTTTGTTTTGTAGAAAACATGGAAACACCAAAGACGCTTTAATATGTTGTGCGTTTTAATAGACCGGTGATGACCGCACAGAGTAGCATTACAACAGAACTTTCAAATGTATCTAGTTTGATAGATAACGCTGCTTTACCCCACATGCACACGACCAGAAGGAGCGGAAGCTGTCGACTGTGGCATAATAAAAGCTCCGCTGCTTTCGAGCTCGTTTCGCTTCGAAGGCTTTCAGCC